GTTCCTCATCAACATGCTCTAAATTTGCACCTTTCCCTGTGCAAAGCAACAAACCTGAAACCAAAGATTTGCTCAGAAAGATGTAGAAACAAAAAAATTAAGACATTAGCGGAAAGCACAGAACACATAGCAGTGACATAACCTATGCAGTATATCAGTGAAGGTTCTGCACAAAGAAGTTGTGTCCCATGGATATGCTGGGATCAAATGGAGGGCCATCTACTGCCATGGTATCATGTTAACTAACAAAAAACATAGAGAAAAAAAGTAAATATCAGAAGGAAAATAATCAGGAAGCAATAAAATGTTTAAACTCAAAATAGTTTTGTCACTTTTCTTCACCCATGAGATGTGATATCATGCGAGTAATATGATTTTTTGGATTGGAATACAAATCCTCTTTTTTTACTATAAACTAGAATCACAAAGGTACAGTCAGTCACAAAAAAAGAGGGCTAGAAAGCCTCACCTGTGGTATATCTACAATGTTATGGCATGCTTCAATCTGTTGCAAAACTAGGGGCTTAGAAGGAGCTGCAAAAACTATTTTTCCTGCTATGATCTCACATATACAAAGTAAATACTATATTTTTGGTATGCTTAAGCTTTTTCCTCAACCAACAAAGTCAAAAGCACACAACTAAGAGGTTAAAGAGGGTTATGATGTTACAGTTGTTCCTTTTGGATAGAAACTGCTAGAATAAAAACATAAATTTCAAAAAAAAGCCTTTCACAATTCATGCAAACTAATGAAGTCATTGTGTAAGGTACATGTAGGTTTGAATCCAAAGCAATGCAAATGTTAGAAACTCTGAATTTGTATGTGATGCCCAAAACTTCCTGCATAAAGAGCTCATCTATATTGACATAATAAGGAATATTCGCTCCAATAAATAACTCTACTTCAGTAAATATGTATATAATTCATTACAAGAAATTAAGACCTTATCAAGACAACATTATTTTCAGCTTAGTTGGACCTTACTGAGAGTAATGAGATCTTATCTATATTCAGCTTTTGCAGTGTTTAGATAGGATTGCCATAAGCATATTGATATAGTTCCAAGCAGTTCACTTCAACTTATTCCTTTATGCCATTTTCCAGAAAGAAAAAAATACCATCAAGAACACTTAATCACATGCAATGACAAAAATGCTAAAAAGTGATGCAGTACCTTCTGGAAACCACCTAAAATAATAATACATTACAACGGCAGCGATGAATGTTTTTCCAAGCCCAGTAGCTAATGCCACTAAGGTATAGGAATATAGTGCAGTCCTCGTGATTTCGAATTGATAATCCCGACGGGGAAGATTTGCTGCAATAAAAAGAATTATGAATAAAATTTTATTCTATAAGCACATAAGAAATAGTACAGTTATTGGTTATAAAAAAAGAAATAGTACAGTTATTCAAGAAATGAGTAACATCAAATTCATAAGTGATGCATATCCCAAACCAAATTAATTAAACGCAAACACTTAATGTGACATTACTCTTGTTCTCTAATGGTGCAATCCAAATGTTGTGGTCGATAGAAGGATGAAACAAAGTGAGTAGAAATGTACATCAGTCCGAAGGGGGTCACATGTATATCATCCGTATAAGTACTTATACAACATCCATGTGGATATGGGACTGAGCAGACCGTGGAGGGCAGACAGTGGCCATCATGAGGTTTTTGTTGTAACTCAAGATTATGAGGCACAATTCGACAGCATAATTAAAGAAGAGAAAACGGACTAAGAAAAAGAGCAAAGAACCTGGATAAATCCAAGTTTTGGCTGCCATCAAATCAAGTGGAACGAAGCAAACCCTGTTATCCCCCTCATTACCAAACTTCTCTTTTCTGACTCCAACGCCGTTTGGATTGTGGGGTTCGGTTTTGGCATTCTTAGTCTTAGGCGGAAATCCCATAAACATTTCAAGAGTCGACTGCTTCCCAGACGCAAGGCCACCACCATTAGGGGTTTTGAGCGTTTTCCTATTTGGGATGGAAGTCGAAGTCGAAGTCGCAACTCCATCAGGAGACGTAGCGAATGTCCCATTGACGGGAAGGGCAACGCCATTGGCCTCACAAGCCACATCGATCTCTCTCACAGCTGCGTCCCAGTCAAATTCCTGAATAATGAAAAAGTAAGATTTAGAGATAGAAATCGAAGTGTTTGGAGAAGAAAGAATCAGGGTTTCAAGAAACAGTTTACATCGTCGTCGTCGATAATCTCAAGAGCGGCGGCGGACGAAGAGGCCATGGCGAACGGGAAATCTTGGGGAAAATATATGTAAAATTTGTTTAATCTTGGGGAAATCAAGCCCTTCTCTTACTCTCTTTATCCCCACTTCATTCAACCCTAACACAGAAAGATAACATTTTAATCTCATTTCTTTTTTATTTCGATTAGCATTCTTCTTCTGCCTAGTGTTCTTTGATTTACATTTTTTTTATTTTAACTCCAATTTGAATGATGAAGACATCCCAATATTGATCCTATTTATTTAAAGGCTCAACCTACCCATCCTTAGTTATTTATTTGTTCCTCATCAACATGCTCTAAATTTGCACCTTTCCCTGTGCAAAGCAACAAACCTGAAACCAAAGATTTGCTCAGAAAGATGTAGAAACAAAAAAATTAAGACATTAGCGGAAAGCACAGAACACATAGGAGTGACATAACCTATGCAGTATATCAGTGAAGCTTCTGCTCAAAGAAGTTGTGTCCCATGGATATGCTGGGATCAAATTGAGGGCCATCTACTGCCATGGTATCATGTTAACTAACAAAAAACATAAATAAAAAAAGTCAATATCAGAAGGAAAATAATCAAGAAGCAATAAAATGTTTAAACTCAAAATAGTTTTGTCACTTTTCTTCACCCATGAGATGTGATATCATGCGAGTAATATGATTTTTTGGACTGGAATACAAATCCTCTTTTTTTTTGCTAATTGAACCCCTGATGATGGGCGCCATGCATAGACTCTGAATATCACTATTAATATAATAAACACTCCTACCAAATCCAACACTTTACGGAGACAAAGTGTAAAAGAGGTTAAAGAAAATGAACAAAATTACTCTGAAATTCTTAGAAAATCAACCGATTGCACTATGTCCGAACTTATTGAGATCCAATTTTCCTCTCCAGACTCAAATGGCAATTACATGAAACATCAACAATTTTCACGAATAGGAGTAATTAGAATATAATTCGAGTAAAAAAATACTCCGTAAATATATTTGGTGTAGCTGAAGAAAATCTTGCGCTTTTTTAGGTTAGGAGATTCGATGTTATGACACCGAGCTTACCTCGATGCGCGATGCGCTATTGATGCGCGCGCATCACGAACACAATGCGCACATTGAGGCATAAGTAGCATAGCATCTCTAAAAGAGTAATAGTGCATATAAAATGTTGAAAAGCATACGAAAACCTTAGAAAGCAACAAAGAATCAAGGTATAGACTTCATGGATTTTGTTACAAATTAGGCAAATAGTGTCATGCCTATTTGTTTTTGTGACCCTTGAAACATACTTCCATCTGGGATCATTAGACCCCAAAATTTAGAGATTCTTACATTCTTGAAACTTGAAAGAGTGTACAAAATATAAATATAAATACAAAAAAAGGTGAAAAGGGGGGAAACCTCACAAAAAACTGAAATAAATATTGTGAAAACAAATAATAAAAGGAGCTACTAACTTACTAAACTCATTCTCAAACCTCAAATACTAGTATACTACATCAATTTTATTCTCAAACCCGACAAATATATAGTATATTTAATTTCAAAGCAAAATTGCAAGATAAATAAAAAAACTGAAATAAATAGTAAGTTTAATTTCAGTTTTTTTCACAAATGTCAAGCGCATACAAAAATCAAAAGCAAAAGAAGTTAAAAATAAAGAATAAATAAATAAAGAGGGGCTTCGGATCTGGAATGTGACTTCAACGCAGTCCAAGTCGACAAGTGATGGAGTTCTAGGGTTTTTTAAAAAAATAAATGAAATTTGGGTCGCTCTTATCGGGTCGGCTCCTGAAAAAACATCGTCTACTTCGACCAGCGGTCAATTACTCTAGGCGACATCTTTCCGACAGCAACCATAGAAAGCATTATGTGCCAATTAACCATAAACTTCAACCACCCATATTTCACTTTCTTAAGCTCTATGCTCAATCAAAATAAACATAAATTGGGATGGAGAGGGTATAAGTTTATAATATCATATTGTAGATGCTATAAAGGGATTTTATTATCTTCAAAAGTATTAGGGTTTAAAATTTAAGTCAAAGTAGTCCCATGATTCACATATAGACTCCTCAGATTTGGTTTGTTGGTTATATGTCTTACTTCCCAATAGGAAGGTTCTTATGTCATTCCTTATCCATCATCCCATCTTAAAGAGAACGGTATAAACAAAAGACGCTAATACAGTATTCCTTTAAGAACATAGCATCATCGTTCAAACATTAAGTCTAAAAGCATTTAAAAAATTAAAGCTTAGAAACCTCTCTGTAAGACAGTCCCCAATGGGAACTGGGGTTTAAATATCCTAATTGAATGTTAATAAGGAAAACAGTGAAAAAAATTGAAAAAACAAAAGAAAGCATGTAGGTAGCTTCTCTGTGGAACTTCCTTCTCCATCATACTTGTGTTTCCACAATCACTATCTCCGGATTCTACTCTCTCCTCCTTTCTATCTTTATAATTTTTTATTATATTCTACAATCTCTAAACCTGCCATTGAGGGTATTCTAAGACTAACACAAATTTTGATTCACTTAATTGCAAGTATATACTATCATGAATCTATTGTTAAAAGGAAAACAAATCAGAAAGTAAAATTAACCAGAAAGGATGTCCCTCTCCAGCACTTGTGGAGTGACAAAGAAAACTCGTTTTTCTTTCCAAAAGCAAGCTCTTCTAAGGAACTTGTTTGACCAGTAAGATCAATCGCACACTCCTGCATTCCATTTAGTAAAAACTGTCTCAGAGTTTGTAAATATGTAAACATATTGTGTCCACAAATAATCTAAAGGAAACAATGTTTTAGCTTCCCTTCCTTCTTATGTTTTATGAAGTTTTGGTTAGTAAGATCTTGTTCTTTTTGTCTAATCTAATTAAATCTGATCTGATTCTATTAAGATTTGATCCCTAATTGTAGTTATATTTAAAGTTGTTTTTTATCTCATTTGGTCTAATCTAGTTTGATAGGATTCTAGTAAGAATAAGTAATCAGAATAAGTTGAAGAGAACAAGCTCTAAATGCATCTGTGCATCAAGGGTCTAACAGAAACAGCCTTTTTGTTTTACCGGGGTAAGGTTGCGCACATCTTGACCTCCAGGCCCCAACATAATTAGAATTATACTAGGTTTGTTGTTATTGTGTCCACAAACTATAAACTAGAATCACAAAGGTACAGTCAGTCACAAAAAAGAGGGCTAGAAAGCCTCACCTGTGGTATATCTACAATGTTATGGCATGCTTCAATCTGTTGCAAAACTAGGGGCTTAGAAGGAGCTGCAAAAACTATTTTTCCTGCTATGATCTCACATATACAGAGTAAATACTATATTTTTGGTATGCTTAAGCTTTTTCCTCAACCAACAAAGTCAAAAGCACACAACTAAGAGGTTAAAGAGGGTTATGATGTTACAGTTGTTCCTTTTGGATAGAAACTGCTAGAATAAAAACATAAATTTCAATGACAAAAATGCTACTCCAGAAAGAAAAAATACCATCAAGAACACTTAATCACATGCAATGACAAAAATGCTAAAAAGTGATGAAGTACCTTATGGAAACCACCTAAAATAATTATACATTACAACGGCAGCGATGAATGTTTTTCCAAGCCCAGTAGCTAATGCCACTAAGGTATAGGAATATAGTGCAGTCCTCGTGATTTCGAATTGATAATCCCGACGGAGAAGATTTGCTGCAATAAAATGAATTATGAATAAAATTTTATTCTATAAGCACATAAGAAATAGTACAGTTATTGGTTATAAAAAAAGAAATAGTACAGTTATTCAAGAAATGAGTAACATCAAATTCATTAGTGATGCATATCCCAAACCAAATTAATTAAATGCAAACACTTAGTGTGACATTACTCCTGTTCTCTAATGGTGCAATCCAAATGTTGTGGTCGATAGAAGGATGAAACAAAGTGAGTAGAAATGTACATCAGTCCGAAGGGGGTCACATGTATATCATCGTATAAGTACTTATACAACATCCATGTGGGTATGGGACTGAGCAGACCGTGGAGGGCAGACAGTGGCCATCTTGAGGTTTTTGTTGTAACTCAAGATTATGAGGCACAATTCGACAGCATAATTAAAGAAGAGAAAACGGACTAAGAAAAAGAGCAAAGAACCTGGATAAATCCAAGTTTTGGCTGCCATCAAATCAAGTGGAACGAAGCAAACCATGTCATCCCCCTCACTACCAAACTCCTCTTTTCTGACTCCAACGCCGTTTGGATTGTGGGGTTCGGTTTCGGCATTCTTAGCCTTAGGCGGAAATCCCATAAACATATCAAGAGTCGACTGCTTCCCAGACGCAAGGCCACCACCATTAGGGGTTTTGAGCGTTTTCTTATTTGGGATGGAAGTCGAAGTCGAAGTCGCAACTCCATCAGGAGACGAAGCGAATGTCCCATTGACAGGAAGGGCGACGCCATTGGCCTCACAAGCCACATCGATCTCTCTCACAGCTGCGTCCCAGTCAAATTCCTGAATAATGAAAAAGTAAGATTTAGAGATAGAAATCGAAGTGTTTGGAGAAGAAAGAATCAGGGTTTCAAACAGTTTACATCGTCGTCGTCGATAATCTCAAGAGCGGCGGCGGACGAAGAGGCCAGAGCGAATGGGAAATCTTGGGGAAAATATGTAAAATTTGTTTAAAGTAAAAGACTAAAACATATGGGTTTTCAGTTAGGTTTTTTTCTTTGCGTAGGACATATTTTAATTTAACCTTCCATCTCTGCCCTTTCTTCCACACGCATATTCTTCAGCACAATTCTCGCCGGTTGTAATTTCATTTTCTTGAAACATCATTTATTTAATTACGGTTTATTATTTTTTTCAATACATAATGTCTTTAGCAGTAACTTATACAGAGTAACTTTTTAAGACTTAGTACGATGATAATTGTACATTTTCTCAAAAAACTTTTAAATAGTCATTATTCCCTTTCTCCTTTTTTATTTTTGACTATTTTTATCAAAATTTATAAATTTTGACCATAAATTAAATAAAAATGATACTCTCTGCATCTAAAAATTTCTTTCTCAGTTTGACTTGGCACGAAGATTAAGAAAAGTTAAAAAGTGTAAAGACTTTTCATATATTGTCATTGCCGTCATGGAATAAAGTGAATAGTATAGATAAAAAGTAGGGTATAATGGCAAATTCATTAAAAGTTTTTTGTCAAAATAAGAAACGAGAAAGAAATTTCTGGACAACCCAAAAAGGATAGTGAAAAAAAATTATTAGACAGAGAGAATATTAAATATTGATACAAAAATAATTCTATTAGATTTATTTTATAAAATATATTCTAAGTTTTATTTCATCTTATTCATATACGATATACTACTATATTTTATTTAATTATAGATTAAAGAAAAATTTGCACTAAATAGCACAAAAACTTAAGTCATTTCTTTAAATGACACTTAAATTGTTTTATTTCCTATATATCACTTAATAATGTCTATAAAGACCAGTGATGGCAAACATTTACTTGAATAATGACTAATGTATAATGACTAAAAATGCTACATTGGGAAAAAACACATGTACTGCTATTTAGGGAAAGTCATTATATTTTAATACTATTTACGTAAATTCCTGTAGATTAAACCAAGCATAATGACTAAAGCAAGTTGTCCGTCATGTTCTTTGTGGATAAAAATACATTGTCCTAAACATAAGGTCAAATGAAGACATCATTCGGCGTTTAATGCCTTCAAAATATTGTATTTATAGACTTAATGACTAGATTATACTGGTCATTGTATTCTTTGAGGATAAGCACCTAATGTACTTAACATATAGAGTCAATATGATAACTTATCCGTATGTGTAATGTCCTTATGTTTAATGACTATCTATTGCAGCAAAACACTAATTTTAGTCCATTGCTCATTGGTTCCAAATCAGGTTTGATAATGAACAAGGCATATTAAGGGCAGTGTGTTCAAACATCGAATATTTCCAAAAAGACAATAATATTATATAAACCAGTGTGAAAGACATTTTATACTTTACACATCACAAAGTGACTCAACGACTTCACAAAGAAAATAAAGACAACATAATGGGAGTCGTTTAAAAAGCTCATAGAACATACACGACAGTTTATAACATATACTTGGGTAAAAGACCATACGAAGCAAGCTGTTAATGACACTTCATCACGCATACAAAGACATGTTAATAAAGGTCCATAAAGACAATATAATCCATGGGAGACATAATGATAGATCAACATAAGTTAATTAAGCCCCAATATATAGTAGGTGAGAAGTCAGTTAGAACCCCTCCAAGTATGATGAAAGTCCTTAAAGATAGTAATACAAAGACATAAAATAAAAACACATTATTCACATCAATTGGATGTTGTAGCCCATGAAGATCTTAGGACCCATCTTTAGTTTCAATGTCTACAAAATATAGAATTTACGATGGACGTCCTAATATGAATTTTATACCATATACAAAGGCAATATATAAACACATTTATAACATAATGACTAGAGTATGCAAATTCAGTTCCTGAAAGAAGAAGTCATTAGATTAAGTTCAAGTCTTTGAATTAAAATTGGAAAAACCAGCATCTACAATAATTAGAAAACTAAAAAAAAGCAACACTGAGTTTGGATAAAAACAAAACAGCCCATTTTGTCCGCTGTACATTGCCGTCACAATTCTCAATCAACGATGTGGTAGATCTGCCATTAAACAACGAAAAATAATTTCTACGGAAGTATTGATTTTTTCATCTTGTCTCCCGCGATCAGCGTCTGCAAATTAGGCGGAGAGGACTGATACAGTTTAATACATTCACAGAAAATAAAAAGGCTAAAGCAGTCTTTTCCACTATTAAAACCTTGAACGAATAAGAGTAGTCCTAAATAAGGAAAATGCATCTCTTTTAGTCTTATTTATGTAATTTTCTCAAAATATATTCGGAATCTTCGTCTTCTCCTAGAAGGGGCGCCATTGCACACAAGCGTTAAAAATTTGATTTTCTCCCTTGATTTTGACATGTATGACAAGCAAAAATAATTTGAGTTTTGAAACTTGAAATAAGTATTTTGATAAAATTTAAAATTATGATTTAACTATGGGGTGAGTGGTTATAGTGTTAGTCGGTGGCAGTGTAGCAGGGATACTCTATAGATTAGAGAGATCAAATCTCTATGTAAATATCTCCCAAATTCAAAAGATATATCTAAATTCTTTATTTTGAAAATTTGTGATATCTGATAATATCGAATTTAAGTTATTTTTATATCACACCAAACCCAAAAAAGAAACTTGATATCAGGAGATATGAAAAACTTATATCTTCTACAGCTCTATGCCCAATAAACGGACCCTGAGAGCTTGTAACCTTCAACTTAATCTTATTACTTACTAGACTCGTACCCGTGCGATGCACGGCTAGAAAATGAAGTTACAAATTTATGTAAAAGTGTTATTACCCCATATAAAAAATTTATTGAAATAAAAATAATAATTACTAACTCTTGTGCATTGCAAAAGAAATATAAATGAAGGAAGTATTATACGGAATAATTCATTAGATATAGAGATGCACAAAAGTATATTCTTGATGATTCCTACCCCCCAGACACCCCGGTAAACCCCCCACCCCGTCCCAACCCAAACCGACCCCCCTCCCTCCAATTGCACCCCACAAAAAAAGTTGCATTCTTAAAAAGAACTTGTTCAATCAAGAATACATGATAGATGGTTTATAGGTTTCCTACTGTATAGAAAAAACTTCAAAAAGATCTCACTCAAATTCAGACAAATGCAAAATGAAAAGTGAAGTATTTAAAAGAGAATTTCAAAATGAAATTCATGTCCAAAGTATGTGTAAGTGATTGATTGATATCAACCGTTCCAAATTAATAATAAAAGATAAGAAAAAAGGAACAAACGTATGAAACCATATATGAAAAGAATTCCATTGTATCTACTTACACATAAACTAAACATGCAAGAAACCATATAAACAAAAGTACTTGTTTTGTTTATCCAAGATTGATCTGCAGAAATAGAAGTATATTTGTTTCTGGTGAGCAAGTTGTTTAACAATTATCATCCCTTGTAAATTGTTAGCTGGAGGGATCTGAGCAGGGTATATGTACATGTCTTCTGCCAACTGCAAACTACTGAACTGTTGCCAAGTTACATCACGATGACTGTTTTTTTAATTTAAAAATAGCTATTTTCTGCACTGTACACATTGAATGGCTTTTCCTTTTCTTTCCAAAGAGAGGAGCTTTCCTTGGAATGAGAACTCAAATCAGAACCAAATGGAGGGGATATAGCAGCACCCTTAGGCTTATTGCCAATTCGATACACACTACAACTCAATAAATTTTTATGGCAAAATATGTTTTTCAAAGTATTCTTTACTTAAGATAGCTAAAAAGCCTAAAATGAAAACTTCCAGCCTATGACAATATGTAAATGGAGCATATATCGAACATGAAAATGCTAAGAAAATAATATCTTTTAATTAGTGCCACCGATGAAGTACCTTTTTATATAATGTCTAAATGAAACATTTCTGGAAAAATCAGCAGAGAAAACACTCTTTTCATCTCTTTTAGTTGTTAACCTGAAACTTCAAATAAGAAAAATCAGCAAAACCAAAAGTAACAATAGCCATTACTATTAACTAAATATGTTACAATTCAAGCCAAACACCTGGTGCTCATTTAGATTGAAATCATGTTTCCATGAGAATGAAGTGTTTTTAGATTCATACGTGTGGCACAGCAAGTTGGTCTTAAAATTTTTAATGAAAAACTTCATAAAATAAATAGTATAAATTAGAATTAGATTATAGCATAAATATAAACTCAACTTCCTAGACAACACAAATCATCGATCAGCAAATCTGAGAGATGAGAAAAGCTTTGGAAAGTTCAGCTGCTCAAACAACACAAAGTCTTTGAGACGATGAGATTAGCTGCACATGCAATTCCAGACTATGACCATGCAGTGCATCTGTGCAAATTCAAATGTCTCAATAGATAGCAAATTCTTAGATCAAATGAGTATAAGTATGTCAGGAGTATTATTTAAATTGAGTGTTATTTAAATTGATTCAACGGGAATAACATGCTTAAAATTCTTTTCCTTTTGCAAATCAGCAGATACTCTTACTTTCTCTTCAACACTCATATGGACTTCATTAAGCAATCCATTCCTGCACCAGGTCAGAGCAAAGGTGAGCAATCATTTACTCGTCTTCGGTAGAATTCTCATTGGGTGACCCACTCATCACTTCTAAATAAGGACTATAATATGGAAGCTACCAATAACATGAACGCTCTATTATAATTAATAATAATAATAATAAAGAATAATAATAATAATAATAATAATAATAATAATAACAATAATTAGTCCAACTGATTGAAAACGAAAATACCTAAAATGGAGTAATTTCCCCTGTGGTATCAGCTACTCAACATAAAGAATGGAAGAATAAAAAAAGAGAAGCTGGAGATTGTTGGATTATGCTAAAACATTTTAATCATGCACCTCTAAAGATATGAAGTTGAGAGGTGATGGTGGGATAGACAGATAGCGTGTTGATGCCATGAAAAATGAAACTAATTATCAATGCAGAAAAACAGCATATTAAGTAAGCCCACCTATAAGACTTGAAGAGAACTTATGCTAATTCTACGTAAAATGTTGCACCTCATTATCTTCCGCTGTGAGAAGATCACAAATACGGAGTATTGCCATGGAGAAAGAAAGTGAAACTCAACTCCCAAACAATGACATATAATCATCATCCATGAGAAGATAAAAAGTCATATCAGAAGTTTTATCTCAATACGATGTACTATTTGTGTTAAAAATTAATAAAAAACCTAGCACCTAATCATACAAAAAAGGACTTACTTAAGATTTACTTTTCTCACTCTCTGTGTCCTCTATCACTCTATGTGTTGAAACAGACGATATACGATACTTTTATTTTGATGGAAAAGAAAATGAACAAAAAATCTAAAACAATCATCAATTGAGGATCTCATATATAGAATAACAAAGTAGTCTCAAACATATAAGAAGTGTGAATTGATGAATATATTCTTTATCCCAAATTGCAAAGTCTATGTAGAAAAACTCCAAGTTCAGGTTGTTCTTCATCAATATTTGATGACATTCAGAGCTGTCATCTTGACATCTTAAAAAACCTTGATGCTTAGAATTAACATTAACAGATCCAATATTGTGTATCCATCAACATGAAAATCTCTTCAAAATAGGTGAAATCATTAGCACACTCAGTAATAGGATTGCAAGTACTCCTCATACAGCCCATATTGTTTCTTAAGAAGCCAATATTTTTAGTGACTTCAATCTCAAAATCTCTAAACTCAGTAATAGGATTGCCAGTATTGTACGATCCCTCAACTTTTTCTCGATCGATTTTAGGAAACCACAAAAAAATGATTCATAACATAAACTGAGAGCTCTGATATATATTACCTTCAAATTTTCTACTTGTATAAATGAACAATATACCTCTAGATTTGGATCCTTAGGGTGTCTCTCACCCCAGAATGCATCCACGGTCGTTGCTCCTCCGTCGCATCCGCCCGATGTTATGCCGTCACTGCACCCCATCCGATTAAAAAGCCAGGGGCTAGGGTTTTGAACCCTACCTCCTGTAGCTTTCTCTCTATGTCTTTCCAAAAATTGATGAGTGTGTGGTAGGAGGTTGAGATTATGTGTGCGTTACGTGGAACCTCCAGTACGATAATCAATTGCTTAATTCATTAATGAATTTGGAAAGTAATAAGTTTGAAATTTCTATATCAAAAGGAACAAAAACAAAGAGAGGGTAAATACTGCCCTTAAGGAGTCTATTGTTCCGACCAGTGGATAGCCATCACATAAAGACCATAGTCGTCTTGATTCTGCTAGCTACACTTAAATAAACTTCATTTATCAATGCAAAGAGTTCGAATATGAACAAAACTAAAATTATAAAAAAACAACTTAAAATCAACAAAAAGAAGAAATTGAGATGGGTTGTTGTTAAAAATACAAATATTAACAAAACTGGGTTGACTTCCAAGAAATCTTGATTGGATTGAAAATCCAACACCATATTCTGAAAGAGCATCGCTAATCGCTCACAATCCATCAAAAAATTCAACCAAAATATTCAAAACAGAGTTGAGTACAAACCTGCAGTATCTCATGTGAAAAGTAACTGCAAGGCTGGATTCATTCAAATTCAGCTGAACTCAGCAACAGTCCACCATCGAAGTGCTGGGATATTGGAAGGCATTGTGAAGATGATTCCATAAATAGAAACAACAAAAAATGAACCACAATTGCAAGAGGAATGGCTATCTAGGTGAGGATTTTAGAGGCCTACTCTGCGGCATCTGTTTGGGAAAAGAATTGATACAATATTGTCTCCCAATTTAATGCAGGAGAAAGAAAGCTTCAAAACCTGGAACCCTAGATCTTACGGCATTGTACTTCATAGCCAATGCCATCAAAGACGGCTGGATAATTCCACCACGAAGCCTCAACACCAGATGCAAAGTAGACTCTGTTTGAATCCCAAATCAAGCACCAACAAAGATTAAATTCCACAGTGATTGAATCCAAAAAGGCATCAAGAAAAAAACTCTAGATTAAAAAGATCAACATCCAAACTGAAAGCACCTAAAAAATGTTGATAAAGCAAAAAAACACTTATCAGTACTTCAAAAATTCATTATTCTTAAAAAGAATTTGAAGGGCACCTTCATTGCCCTGAAGAGATTATATTTTGCTTATATTTTCAGTCAATTAAAAGGTTCAAACATCCAAACAAACAAAGCTCTGAAAATGTATAAAAGTATGTCAATGGGAACCTTGTGGACTAACTTTAACAAAAAATTCTGTTTTCAATAATTTTATTGTTGATTATAAGCAAAAAAGCATTATTTTGGCTAAATGATTGGTTTAATATAAAATCATCTCTCAAATGGTTGTGAGATGGTAGTTTTTGTTCTCGCAGATTGGTCAAGGAACTTACAGCAGTGACTAAAAAGCTCTAGACTTGGCGCACAATAAGTTAGTAGCACTAAATGAGTTAAGTCGTCATAAAAAATGGGTTAGGTTTGATAATGCTGATCTTGACAGTATCAAGTTCATGGCTAGATCAGAGAGATAGTTATCTTAAGAAGACTTGAACACCCAAATATAATAAAAGTGGGCGGCCTCACCACCTCAATAACATCTTGAAGCTTGTATCTTGGTTTTGAGTACATGGAACATGACCTCACTGGATTGGCATCACTCCCCAATGTCAAGTTTTCAGAATATTAGTTGTGCCCCCCTACATAATTGATGCCCCTAATAAGTTATGTTTCCCTTTCTAAAAAATGTGATCTGATAATTATCACACTAACAGATTTATTCGTACTTGAACTTGGGATAAATCATACCAAGAGGGTTGAATAAAAGAGAGGTGATCATGGCAAAATCTAAAAGTTTCAGATTATGTGTAGGAGTTAGAAAACCATTCTCAGATTTATTATCCCATTGTATATTACAAAAGTCAAGCACCATGTTGTGAATACTTTTAATTTAAGTTTAATTCAAAAATAAAATCATTCTAAATGGTTTCTATCCATTCCAACTTTAACAAAGAAGAAACTTCATGGAAAAAAGCTACTGCCTAGATTCACCACAACCCTCCTCTACTTCTCCCTACTCTTCAGACCCTCATTATCCACTCATTATTCAATTTATAGATGAAATAAATGAATATAGTATCCATTATAGGAGACAAATGTAAATATTATAGGTTGCTGCTCTTTTGGTTTACCTTTAGTGTCATCAGAAGCTTGCAATCCATATGTGGTCAGTCGAAAGCTCTTGAACAACCCTTGTTGATCCTCAACCTGTGAATCTCACAACTCCGGAGTCATGTGTTTTATAAAACAAAACCTAGACCTTGTGTATGTTTATGTTATTCGGTTTTAAATGTTAAAACAAAACCTTTTTTTGTCTGGTTCAAAATAAGAGTTGCTTAAAATAAACAAAAGAGAGATCTAGAAGAAGCTTACGGTTGACTCAAGCGAATGACAAACAAAGAGAGCATGGCTCACATGCGGCCTTTCTTTGGGCATCGTCCCTTACGCTAAGTTAAAGCAACGGGCAACAGAGAGGATGAATTGAGAGTTCCAATTTCGAGAACTGAAATTGGAATTTAAAAAGAGACATAGATTCAATGGATGATAATAAATAAACTAACATATTGAGGATGAGAAATTGAGAACATACTTGCGGCAGATGTTCTCCCATCAAAGCATGCTCGATAATTCCACCAGGAAGCCTCAACACCAGATGCAGAGTAGACTGTTTGAATCCCAAATCAAGCACCAACACAGATGAAATTCAATGGCGATTGAATCCTAAAAGGCATCAAGAACAAAACCCTAGATTAAACGTTTTACCTTTTTGGATGTTGTAGTCGGCAAGGGTCCCGTCTTCAAGCTGCTTCCCGGCGAAGATCTGCTTCCCGGCGAAGATGTGCTGCTGAGTCGGCAAGGGTCCATTTTACCTTTTTGGATTTTTTTTGGATTTACTTCTTTATTAAATTTTCTTTCTTCAAAAGAAACTGAATGTGCCGTCCAAAGTGTCATCCGTACACTAAAATGAGTATGCTGGAAGCTTCACCACCTTTTTTGATCGGAATGTGCGGTCCAGAGTCATGCGGCTACTGTAGCTTAACAAATGGGCGGGAACACTGTTCATAAGCCCCTCTTACCATTGTATATAGGAAGATTTGTATTAGAATCAGATCATATCAATTTAGAAAAATCTTTGAGTATATAACTATAATCGGAGTATACAAGACCAAATCAGATTAAATATATCTTTAAATATAACTACAATCAGATCAATTCTTATTCCAATCATATCATGTAAAGAGAACAAGTCCTAATTTTGAATCGTTTTAATAAAAGGTGATTAAAGTAATTAGTGAGTTTTCATATTTAGTCCTCAATTTTAAGATACTAGTCTTTCGTTTTTATAAATTGTTTCATGATTAGTCTTTTAGGTCACGCGATAAAGTTTTGGTACGGTTCTGGTTCTGGAACCGCCGGTTCTATTACCGCCACCATATGTGACCGTTATCGGTGCTGGATGTCCCAATTCCAGAACCAGTAGTTCCGGTACCAGTTCTGGCTGGTTCAGCTGTTCAATTTTTATATGATTGAGTCAATTGAGATGTAAAACAAGTTTACAAGTTTTCATAAATTCTAACTTTTAATAACGTAGTTGTTAGGCCACTCAAAATGAGTGGCCATTGAACCTAGCCGATTTACGGACTGGTTCCATGGACACTGTTTTTAGTGGCCAAGGAAGTCACTGATGTGACTCGGATACTTACAGTTCTTTGTTCGTAAAATTGATGCTTCCTACCCCCTCCGGTAAACCCTCCGCTCAGTCCCGACTCCAACCCATCCCTCCACCCATATATGTCAATTGCACCCTGCAAGTTTAGTTGACTTTAAAGTAAAAAATTTTGACTTTAAAGGCAACTAAACTTGCGGGGTGCAATTGTCATGGTGGGATATGGGTTAGGGTCAGAACTCAGTGAGGAGGTTTACCAAGATGGTTAGGGGAAAGGAATCATCAATTTTACAAATGAAACATTGAAGAGTGGCAGCGGCTTTCGTGGCCACTCAAAATGAGTGACCATTGAACATAGCCGATTTAAATAATGAAAATTGAATAGTACAACTACATTTAATATCGTGATGGTTCAAAAAAGTGACGAAGTAAAAAATCGTAAAAAACCCTCGAAAGAGCTTAAAAATCGCTCACCTAAATAAACTAGCTAATTACAATTTAAAATAAAAATAAAAATTTATTCCTTAGAAGTACCACTTCTATCTGTGGTTGCATCCATGTAATTTAGTGTGTCAATATCGTAATCTGACTCTTGAGCTCGGCATCTTACCGAGAGCCAATCTCGGTTGCAAACCAGTGTCTCAAAAAATTCAAATCTAAGACAATTTTGGTAGTCGGATAGAATATTGTCGCTAGAACTAAACTCTTGTTCCATTGCTACAGTTGAAAACAACATGGACAACACTTGTCTGACTAGCATTCCAAGTGACAAAAACATGTGTTCATTCTGCTTCCACCATTCGAGGATGTCGAACTCGCTATCGTTGTCTCCATCGTAGTCGCATGGGATGTTGGACAATGTGCTATCATGAATACATATTTTTGCAATGTCTTTTGCCCATTGTCTTTTAGGTTTTGATAATGACAAAAGGGTGATAAAACGTTATCATCAATTTGTGCATCAAGGCTAAGAATCAAAGCTACAACAAGTTCATATCCGTCCGTAAAGAAGGGACTAGAGCATCGGTGGAAGGAACGAGGCCGAAGAGGTTGTTTCCTTAGTTGGGTAGTGTTTTAGGTCTTAGATTTTGTGTTAAAGAGTATGACATCTCTAAGGTTCATTCCCTTATCATCTACCTTCAAAACACATTTTTTCAGCAAACTATTCGAATAAATTGGAAACTATTCGAATAAATAAATGAAATTTTATTCTGACTTAGTTGAATAAATCCAGAACTAGTTGAATAAGTCAGATTGCAGTTTCACCAAAACTAGTCGACTAAATCTTGTCAAACTCCGTTAAGTTTGACGGGTTAGTGAAGGCCTGGCACGATTGCTTCGGGGACTGGATGTAGGCATTTAGGCCGAACTAGTATATATCGTGTGTGCATTGCTCTTATCCTTCACTTTATTTTGTTTGTGGCGCATTGTTTTTATTGAATATTCGTGAAGAACGTTTCCGTGCAAAAAACTGGTCTTTTGAGCAACACCTCTATTCACCCCCCTCTAGAGGTGTGCGAGGCGTCTAACATGGGACCCCTTGATACGAAAAACTATGAAATTTTGTAATAATTTTAAGTTTAATTTAAATCAAATTTAAATTCATTTACACCACATCTAATTTTAAAAATCATATCCAATCAGACAGATTAGATCAGATCCAATCAGATCAGATCAGACCCGATCAGATCAAATCAGATCAGATTCAATTAGATGAGATCAGATCAGAACTTCAAAAATTTTGATTAGATTCAATCAGATCAGACGTACGGAACAGAGCCTAAGCCTCTCTACTATAAATAGAAGGCTTAGGATCCATGTAAAACGTCATTAAGAACAAGAAGAATAGTGAAAAATCAATAGAGAAAAGAAACTAGAAATATATCATATTTATCTTTATAATCTATGAGTAGTTTTCTCTCATTTTATAACACCTTTCCCTTTTATTTTCTCTTTTGTTTGTTTTTTTTGTACTCCCTCCATCCCCCAATTTTTTGTCCACTTTCATTTTTACACACCATCCAATGCACTTCTTTAATCCATTTTATTTTGTAATTTGTATATTAAAAAATTATAGAAATTATATATTAATAATCTATATGTTAAGACAAATCAAACAAGATAACACATGACTATATTTAGGCTTACACATTGAGAGAATTTGATGAGTCAAAGTGCTTAGATAAACAGTTCCAAAAATCAAAAGTGGACAAAAACTGGGGGACGAAGGGAGTAATTTCTATTTTCCTCCTCCGTCCAAATAAAGATCAATAGGATTAATGTACTACGGAGAATTAAGTAGGGGTGAGCATGGTACGGTATGGTACGGTAAATACCGTACCAAATATTTTGGTTCGGTATGGGATTTTACTCCGTACCGATCCCGATCCTGAAATATCGATTTGGTATGGTTCGGGATGGTTTGGTATCGGTTTCGGTACAAATCGGGATGAATACACATACCTACTTTACACATTAAAATTTAACAACGCCCCTTTATTTTTGAAAATTAAAAGTGAATTTAAATAAAAAACATGAAAAAATAAAAAAAATGAATATTTAAATGCAAGATATGCGTATCAAAACTAGTTTATATTTCACAAACTAAAAAATGAACGACAACAAAGAAGTATTTCGAATCTTTGTGAGCACTTTTATGTTCATATACAAAAACTAAAACTAAAATAAAAGTATAATTTACACATAATAGAACTTGAACCGATTTTTTTTTAAATTTATTATTTAGTGAAGGAATATAAAAATATTACTACGGGGTATTATTTTTTATAATATTTTAATATATATGTTCGGTTCGGGATTTTTGGTATGGGACGTCACCTCGTACCGTTTCCAAATACTATACCGACCATTCAGTTCGGTACGATTCGGTTCCTTCTCGTTACTTTTTCGGTTCGGTATTCGCGGTTTTTAGTGAAATTTCGGTATAAGTTCGGGAGTAATTATACTCGGATATAATTACTACTCCCGCATCCAGAGGCTGGCTCTGTATCCGGAGACCACACTTCCAACTCCGGCGCCTTGACGGCTGAGATCGCGGATCTCCGCCGCGGATTTTACAACCAGACCTGCCCGGAGGCCGAATCCGTGGTCAGGCTGGTGATGGAGAAGAGCATGAGAAGAGAAGCCAGAAGCATAGCATCCGTGATGCGCCTCCAGTTCCACGATTGCTTTGTTAACGTAAATAATTAATCCGCCATTATTATATTACATCGATCTCAAATCTCAAGTTAATCTCAGATTAGCTTCTAGCTCTGATCCATGATTTTTTTTTTATTGAATGCGGATTAGGGATGTGACGGATCGGTACTGTTGGACGACACGGAGACAATGTTGGGGGAGAAGCTGTCTTTGTCGAACATAAAATCACTGAGCTGGGAGGGTGTACAAAGTGGCCAACCGTACAGGGCATCTTAAAATTTAGAGCACCATATTTTTAAATTTGTTAATAATTTTAAAGCAAAAGTATTCTAAAAATATAAAATAGGGCACAAAATCTAAATTTTGGACCGGGCCAATTTTATTTTTTCATTTTTCGGGGCCGGCCCTGTCACTGAGGTCATATGAAGTTGTTGATGAAATCAAGGAAGAGCTGGAGAGGGCGTGTCCGGGCGTTGTTTCGTGCGCTGATATCTTAATCATGGCGGCCAGAGATGCTGTTGCTCTGGTAATTCTACTCCTCTTAATTACTCTCTAATCCTTCTCAATTCTCAACTTAACTTCTCATGCTTTTACTCCTTTTAGGCATTTTAAATTACACTTTTTATTCTTTTTAAGTAAAGAATTGGGCGATCACAAACATTATTCTTATTTGAAATTTGCACTAAATAGGACTAAAACATAATGACTTTCCTAATGTAGGACTTAAACTTTTTTATTCCCTAAATAGGACTTAATAATGACCTTGTGGGACGAATAATGTCAAGTAATGCTAGACATTTACTTGAATAATGACTACTTGTTAAAGATCAAAAGTCCTACATTGGAAAATAAAAACATATGGTCCTATATTGGGAAAGTCATTATGTTTTAGTCTTATTTAGGTAAATTTCTCTATTCCTATACGGAGTATTAATTAGGCCATATAGCTTCAATGTCTTTTTAGTTTGGAAAATAGACATCAATACACTCTATTTTCAAAACGTTGCACGTGCACTCCTTCAACTATTTTCCGTTCATTTTTTCCCGTGAAAATGGAGAACAATAGGGGCATTGGTACCAATATTTATCTTATTTTCCGTTCATTTTTAATTTTTATAAAAATTGTTCTCTTTAATGTTTTAAAAAATAAAATTATTTGTGTATTTATCTTCTTCTTTTTTCATTTCTTTTTTTCATTTATTTCTCTTTTATTTTAAGATATATGAAGTGTATGACAATTTATTTTTATTTCATTTATTTTTTACTCCGTATTTTAAACACAAATAATTTAATTTTAAAAAATATTTTAAAGAGCAATTCGAAAAATTAATGGAAAATAAGATAATGGACTCTAAGTTTTAAAAACAGAGACTAGATTAGTATCTATTCTCTGCTGGTGCAATTTTAACCTTTTTATTTACCATGATCTCACCTCGTTTTTCTTACCTCCCGCAATAGTGATCTCATTTCCTAAATAAATATCTCATTTTATTTTAAGAAAAAAATAATATTTCCCTCCGTACCAAACCAAAAGACACAATTTGACCTCACGAAAATTATGACAATTTAAATTGATATTAACTTCTTAGTTTTGCTTAACTTGATATTAACTTCTTAGTTTTGCTTAACATATGGTTGCAATATGAGAGATAGTGTAAAAATGGTTGAAAAAGATAGAGATGGATCGATTGAAATAAGAAAGCAAAAAGAAAAATGCTAGGGGTGTACCCCATTTGTCCCCCACCTCCTTATTGTCCACACAAAAAAGGCAAGAAATTCAAAAAAAAAAAAAATAAAAATAAAAATGGGTGGTGTACAAATGGGGTACCCCAAATGGTGTACTCCTAGCATTCCTTAGCAAAAAATGATTAAAAGATATAAAACTAAAAATAGTGGTATTATGGCATTATGAGAATATTAGTAGATTGGTTATGCCAAATAAGAAAATGGGTATTTTGATTTGGGACGACCAATTTGAAAAGTGCGTCTTTTACACTTTTTGTTTGGAATAGAGCAAATATTTCATACGGAGTATAAATTCTCAATATTCCATCAAGTTTAGTCACACACATTTCTTTTTTCAATATTTCTCTTCGTTTCACTTTCATGTCCATCCCAATTGTTTCCAACTTTGGATAGAGAATTGGTAGTCTATAATTTTTTTAAATCAAATTTTAAATACTCACTTTCTTAAAAACATTATTTCATAAATTTCATAAATTTAAATTATGTCAATTAATTCAGAAAATGATACGCTACATTGCTACAAAAATGTAATTGGGACAATTTTTCAACCACACGACTTTCTGGGGACGGGAGTATTATTATTCACCCCTGGGAATAATTTTTTGTCCCGGACTATTTTTTTCACCCCGCCTCCGAATGAGGCACACTATGGAAAAATGTTGGCTTTTGACTTTTTTCTTTTTTATTTTATTTTATTAATCAAGAGTTTTTTAAATTTCTTTTTAAAATTACTTTTATAATGTACTTAAAATTTAAAATTATTTTTGTTTGAAAAAAAGTAATTAACATATACTGCATCTGTACGTCTCAAATTAACAATTTTCATTTTGTTTTCCAAAATAAAAAAAAATACTATTTTTGTGAACTTCAAAGAATGATGAAAAAAATAACAAATAAAATAAAACAAAAAATAAAAATGAATCTGTTTTGGACATTTCAACTGTAAAGACTTTTTTAGGCAATTTGAAAATTCTTTTTTGTATAACTCTTTTTTGCATGTTTCAATTATTTCAGTTCGTTTTTTCCATATTTTTATTTTTATTTTTTTATTCAAGATATTTTCGAACTTACCAGAAAAAAATACTAGAAAACAAAAAGTAAAAATGTTTAATTTGAGATAGATGGAGTATGTCTTACAAATTTAAAATGTACAATATGGTATGTCTTACAAATTTTAAATTACCATTACAAACATAGATACAATTAAAAAGAGAAAAATCTTCGAAACACATTGTACATTCCACCGCACATTAGAAGTTTGAAATGCCGCACACGTCCTAAAATTAAGCTTGTTCGTTTTTCTTCGAAATTAAGGGGCTGTTTGTTTCAGCCTCTTAATGGTTTAGATGTCTGAATTGTTCAACACTTAATGATTCAGACTGTTTGTTTCAGCCTCTTAATGGTTCAGATGTCTGAATGGTTCAGCACTTAATGATTTAGACTGTTTGTTTCAGCCTCTTAATGGTTTAGATGAATGGTTAAGAGATTTGTCTCTGAATGGTTAAGTATTATACAGAGTCTGAATGGTTAAGACCTCTTATCTGAATTGATCAGACATTTGCCTCTGAATAGTTAAGCAATATACCAGCTCTTAATGATTCAGATCTCTTACTGGTTCAGCACTTAATGGTTCAGACCTCTTACTGGTTCAGCACTTACCCATTCAGAAGTTGCCAAACAGCCCCTAAGAAAAATACTGGAAGTGAATCGGTAAAATTTATGGAGAATGATGATCAAACAATTTGAATGGCATATAGTAGCTAGTTAATTTCATAAATGGAATATAGATAACTTTGGGAAGTATCAAAAGTAATGTGTTTTGTGTAAATGTAGAGTGGAGGACCAAATTGGGAGGTGAAGCTGGGAAGGCTGGACAGCTTAACAGCAAGCCAAGAAGACTCAGACAGCATAATGCCAAGCCCAAGAGCAAATGCAACATATCTCATAAACCTCTTCACCAAATTCAACCTCTCAGTGCAAGACCTTGTTGCCCTTTCAGGCTCCCATTCCCTTGGCAAGGGACGGTGCTTCTCGGTCGTCTTCCGCCTCTACAACCAGTCGGGGACCGGGAGACCGGACCCCGCCATGGACTACGAGTTCCGCGAGAAGCTCGACAAGCTGTGCCCCCTCGGGGGCGACGGGAACGTCACGGGGGACTTGGACGCGACCCCCGAGGTGTTTGACAACCAGTACTTTGTGGACTTGACTAGGGGACGGGGGTTTCTAAACTCGGACGAAACACTGTTCACTACCCCGAGAACCCGGGGGTACGTCCGGCTGTACAGCCGAGACCAGAAGGCATTCTTTGATGCATTCGTCGAGGGGATGGTTAAGATGGGCGATCTCCGGTCAGGCCGGCCCGGAGAGGTCAGAAGGAACTGCAGAGTTGCCAATGGCCACTTGCCCCCAAGAAACTCCTTTGCTTCCTAATGAGGACTTATCTTAATCATCTCCATTGTTGGTTTATTTGATCATCAACTCCATTACTTAGCTTGGGTGGTGACATTGGTGTGTGTGAATATTTACAATATATGTTGAAGTTCGAATATGCAACAGTTCATAGCAAGTGTTTTACTCCATCAAACACGTCTAAAGGGTATTTCATGACAAAGATCTTTTATTTTATCACTTCAGAAGAATGCTACTGCACAATTTGTTTTCTTTCGTAAATTAATGGCTAAACTCCACTATTGGTCCTTCAACTTTATCAATTGTGCACGATTGGTCCTTCAAGTTTTAAAAGTCCATAAATAGTCCTTCAACTTTATGAGTTATGCACGATTGGTCCTTCAAGTTTTAAAAGTGCATAAATAGTCCTTCAAGTACACGTCAGCCCTCAAGATGAAGTCCTTTTGACAGTAAATGTTAAAAGCTAAATGGAATACTAGCTCCATATAATACGGAGTAGTCATATCTAGTGGAATTTACTCGTATTATATGAAACTAGTATTCCATTTAACTTTTAATATTTACTCTCAAAAGGACTTCATCTGGAGGGCTGACGTGTACCTGAAGGACTACTTATGGACTTTTGAAACTTGAAGGACCAATGGTGCAGAACTCATAAAGTTGAAGGACTATTTATGGACTTTTGAAACTTAGAGGACCAATCGTGCACAACTGATAAAGTTGAAGGACCAATGGTGGATTTTAGCCTAAATTAATTCATAACTTCCAAGTTTGTGAGCAATTCATAACTTCCAATTAATGAAGAATTCATTTCTACTTAGATTCCGTTTGGTACAAAGAATTCAAGCCATGAAATTGAAATCGAAAACTTAAATTCTAATTCTGTTGTTTGGTTTGCACAAAAATGTGTTGATTTAGAATTAGTAGTGCAAAAATTGAATTGGAAAATCTAATTCCATCCAATTGAATTTTATAGATTCCTAATTCCAATTCAATTTCAATTTCATCAATTCCGTGTATTAAACAGACCTTTAGTGTACATGTAAATCTCCATCTGATAAAACTACTAATCAATATAATCTCAAATCTGTCATTACATAGTAACTGCAATTAAGGCCACACTATTTTCGCCAAAGATAAAACGGAGGAAAGATAAAAATGTTCAAGTTGCCTCATATAATATAGTACAGAAAGTATGAACAGTTCATGACTAATTTCCTGCGAACTGTAAACATACAATCACATCCAGCTAACACACCGCTAGACCACTACTAACTTACCTGGACAGAAGATATTACAACTGGAAGCAAAATAAACCATGATTTCCTGCGCGAAAGCTATCCGGAAAGCCTAATGTAGAAATGGCGAAGAAACGGAAAAAAACCAAACTTCTGCACATCCACTGAAGAGACTACGTTTTTCGTGACCACCTAATATTTCTGCATTGTACTGAGCAAGTAGTTAGTATTTTCACTTCAACTACATAGCTCCACAAATTATGCCCCACTAATTACCCTTGGCAACAACTGAATCAGTAAAGATGAAAAGAATCGGCAACGTTGAGATGATTGGCAAGTCGTCTGATGGTTGGTTGTACATATTCAGAGACTGGAGAGAACGAATCAGGAAGCTCCGGGATGCAGACAGGCAAATATTGGTCACTTTCTTCACGAAGGCAAAATAGAGTAAGCACAGCGCGACAGAAAATGAATCTGGTTATGAAAAACAGTGAAGTGCATCCATTAGCTATTTTAAACATTAAAAAACTTGAATAAATATGACCTCAGTGAACACAACAAATAAAAGATTTACCTTAGGATAAGCCGGCGTAGAAATGGATCACACAATACCTGAGCCCAAACCAAGTCTAGGCTGGGGGTTGTGCAGAGCATTACCTCCCATTCGGAAAATGAAGTAGAGATGATAGCATTGACATCATTGTAAACATCCTGGGATATAACCCCACACATGAATAAAAGTAAACGGGATTCTCTTCAAAGAGTATCAGTTCTGCTATGAACTTACATAATCCTCGTCAGAAAATTTTAGGCCAATCAGTTGGCAGAAAGCCAGCAAGGGAGCAGTCAAAAACATGGTGAATTGGCTCCCATCCTCGATTACATCAGTGGTTGGTTTCTTAAATGATGGCCTCAAAGGAGATAGAAGTAAAGCACATCTTTCTCCTCTTTCAGCTCCTTGCAGAACCTGAACAGTGAGCTATAATACATCATGCAATGGAGATAACGACAAATGTTCTCTTCATTATATTAGAATTCAGAAATCATTACATAATTTGGCTGACATGCCCAACGAAAGAAATGGAAAGCAGAATGTGGTTGCCACGAACAGCTAGAGAGTATTTGGATATGTTCGCGCCAACACTCCTCGTTATGGGCCTGGGATCTAAGGACGAAGAACTCTGACCTTATGGTGATAGGAGCAAAATCACATGAAGACATTGAGGGGGAGGGTTGACCGGCAAACAAGGAGGACGAAAGAATCCTTAATAAATAATAATTGACATCTTATATAGAGGCTGACAATCCTAAACACCAAAGGAAACCTGACAATAAAATCTTACCAAATAACTAGTTAAATAAAATTTCTAACCAATCATTAATTAATATGACTTGTGGATGGTGTGGCCGGCCTTGGTTTCCTAGCCCGGGATCATAATGGTAGCTTCATTGCAGCAAAGCATATCCGGCTTAGAGGAAGTTACCGGGCGAGGGAGTCGGAAGCTATGGCACTTAAGGAAGCTTTGAGCTAGATCAAGTCAAAAGAATGGCCGAGGGTAATGCTCGAGCCCGATTGACTGAGAAGTGGTTGAACACCTCAATAGTTTTACTCCCTCCATCCCATTAAATTCCTAAAAATTTGATTTCACGGAGTTTAAGAAACTTGCTGAAAAGTAAAAAGTGTGGTTAGAATTTGCACGCGAAAAAAAATTGATTGGTAGCCACATATTCAATACACAAATAGAGAATAAAGTGTGAAGTTTTTCTAGGGACATCCAAAGAAAGAAAGTGTGCAGAATTTTATGGGATGGAGGGAGTATTAATGATTGGTCTTATTCAAATTTGATTATTGTTGATTGTAGAAATCTTTATGCTGTTTGTAGCGGAGATTTGAATTTTTGTAATGTTTCTCGCTCTGCTAATGAGGCAGCACACTTGTTAATGCGGGCTTCTCAATCTCTATGGAGACTAGTAGGAGACTTCAACTAATACTAATAAGAAACTACTACCAATATTATTAGTAAACTACTGTTACTAAAATTAATAATAATAATAATAACTAATAATAATATAATTGATAATAAGAATAATACTAACTATTAATGAAAATTCTATGATAATATTGATCGTATCATATTCACAATAAGCAGACAATCTGATACACAAAGTTTTGACAAACCTGCCTTGAATGCATGGCTGTTGTCACTATCAATAATTATGAAAAGAGGTCTTCGTGTAAATGGAATTAGATCTCCTGGATATAGGTTGTTCTGGACTGAAAATAGTCAAAAGCATGACAAATGAGATTTTTCAAAATTAAATAGACATGAGCAGAAAAAGGATTTTTCAAGCTATACCTCCATTTCTGCTAGGACCAAAGCTCAAAGAGTTTTCAGGGTGGCTATTTAGGTCTCCATTACAGCTGATATGGTTTTCATGCAGACGAGTCTGAGATAAGGCCACAGCAGGCTTTGAAGATCTTCTTGGATTTATAGAAGTTTCCATATGTGATGGACTACTCTGACCATGACTCCCTGAAAGCAAAGTCCAGATTTGAGTTTCCGGGCATGGTGAGATAACATTGACAGTTGGCTGTAAAGAAAAACAGGAGATTCAAGGTAACCTGATGCAGAGATATATAATAGCATCACACTTTCTGGAGGAAGTTCCTCACATGTTGTGGCAATGACCTGCAACAGATAAGTAACCTGATGAAGATACAAATAAAGGATCTAGTTTAGCACTAAAGACGATATGCATCAAAAGAGGAAGAAAAAAAAAATCTAATCAAGTGGATTGATTGATCTGGGATTCACAGATACTCAGGGACAAATTGACTTAATAATGATTTCCTTAGTACTTCATAAGAGTCCATAAATTCAGTATTCTCCATTAGAGAAAGTCAAAAACACATCAATACATCAGAAAATAATTGGCCTTCCACTGGGGAAAGAAGTATCCTTGCAGGGTTGGTTCCTTAGGGGTACTTGGAGGCCTGAAGCTCTCTTATTGGCTTTTTTTATTTATGGCTCTCTAATAAATTCACTTTGATTTCTTAGCCATGTTTCCTCCTCAAAGAAGAAAAATACTGTTTGCATAAAAATTAATTCAAATGTATTGAAGTCCTAAAACAAATGCCAATCAAATCGGACTCAGAAATTTTTCAAGAACATGTGAAGTGAAATACACTGGCTGACTAGCCTCAGTTCAGATACTGGTATATACAGGAGTAATCAAAAAGCAAGAAACTCAAATATAATTCAATGACTCTGATTTGTACAATCAGTACTCATTCTTTGATCAGAATCATTACTCTCCTTGGACTCAACAAAGTGATTGTGCTGATAATTTATAACATATCAAAAGGTAAAAGGTTAAACTTGAGAACTCACCGCAATCAATTGTGCCACAGAAGGGTGATAAAGCATCACCTTTTTTGGATTTGAGGGGAGATTTGGATCCATCATGTCTGCAGCCAAATTCATACCAATCAGTCCAGAAGTCAAGGACTGGTCAATTGTTGCCCTGTTCTCTTGTGGTTCAATAGGTGTCTTCTGATAGAAAGACCGAGTGGGTTGCCATTCCAAGCATTGGAGCATTCTAAAAGTGTCTAGAGTTAGTTCTGCAAATTTGACCTGGGATGAAACCAAATGGACTATTTAAAACCAATTCTGTTTTAGATCTAATGTAAATGCAATCATTTCATTAATACCTCATTTTTATGATAACTTGTCAGCACTGCATTCTGAAACTTTAGGACCTTCTTAGCATGGAAGCGGGCAACATATGGTTGAGACAATGGATAAGAATCAAAAGGAGCACAATAGCGCAAGGGGCTAACCACTAAAGAGCCAAAGTCCACCTTTGTGAATCGAACAATCTCGTTCACCACCAGTCTCCATTCTTTGAAGTTTGTACCCTGCAATGATACGCACAATTAGCCAAACAAACAAAAGCATTTGCACTATGCTTATGTATTTGAAACCCAAACATCACAAACACACATGGTTTTATCTTGTGTATGTACATGCAATTGCATCAAACCCTCTCTTAGCGGGGTGCTTTATGCACTGAGCTGCCCCTTTTAGAGCATGAGTTTAATGGTTCTGTACCCTCTCTACATCTCTATGCATGTGCTCAACATGACACCATGTGTGCTATACTTAAAATGCAATTTATCAATTCAAGAAGTAAGTTCTTTTTAGCATAAATGGTTTAAAATGTTCACAAATACATAAAATATGAAAATTCAGACCATATTGTTTATGCCAAGAGGAAACAAGTGCATACAGAAAAGAAGAGATCAACATGCTCACCTGCAAATTTACCTCACAGGCTCAATTTAAGCATAGTTTTAATATTTTAAAGGCAGTAAGTGGAAGTTGAAAAAGGACACAATAATCACATAACTGAAAAGCATTTTTTTAACATTAGACAGTTACATTTCCTTGAAAAAACATTAGATAGTTACACTTTATCTTGAAATCGTTGATAAATTTCAGTTATAACAGATGCCCTAATGATTGCCCTTTAGCAAAATACAAGGGGAAATCCCAAATTCAGCAAAACTGGGCTTAATGTCAACCCAAAAAGCAGCAATTTACAGAAGCGGTTTGAAATTTCCATACCGGAAAAGCTGCTTTGCTATCATCCACGAGAGCCTTGAACCGCTCAACAAGCTCGTTCACCATATCATAACGGTTCAAAATCAAGGCCACCATCAAAAACCTGGCGTAAAACCGCAACTCCTTGAACCGGACGCTGCGGTTGGTGGCGGAGCCGTCGAAATACTTGCGGTTAAGAATCGCCTCGTAGAAGATGTAGGACTCGAGGAGGAATCGAGCCTCGCTGGTGCGCAGGTACTGGGTGAAGTAGAGCTGGCCGATCCGGGACGCGATGTCGCCGATCTCCCAGCGCTGCAGGCCGGACTCCACCAGCTTCGACCGGTTCTCCTGCTGGAACTTCCACAGCCTCATGTAAGCCTTGAACACCTTGTGCAGGTAGTGCCCGGTCGCCGCGCCGCCGCCGTGAGCCGGCAAGTCCCTCACCCTAGCAAACTTCTTCTCCGCGCCCTCCACCAGCTCTCTGAAAGTCCTCGGCACGACGCCGTCCGCCGCCATAACATCACAACTCCTCCCCCGAGTACATCAAAGAGCAAAAGTGGTGCGAATGCGTGGGTGCGTCGGCAGACAGGGACAGGGGAAATTGAAGGGGTTTCAATGGTGGGATGAGGAAATTATGGCGACCTTTTTTTTTTTTGTTTTTTGTTTTGTTTATCAAAAGAGGAACAAAAAGAAATGGTTTCTTGTGGGTTGGAGGTTTTCCAGTTCGGACCGGAGTTACAGAGGCGGCGAGGAAGGTGGGTGAAATTTTATTTGGAGCGTAGGATTCGGGTTCAGGTGGGGCCGTTGGCAGACTGGCAGACGGCCAAGCGCCTGCATTGAGGTAGAGTCAACTGTCAAAACACAGGGCTTTTGAATCAATTGAGACTTCTTACAAAATTTAGGTTAGACTTTTAGTCAATGCTAGTGCACTAATTATTCATTTACTCCCTATTTTTAAATAGTACTCCCTCCGTCCTACTTTAGATTACAATATTTCCTTTTAATTGAAATTAAGGAAGAGTCAAATCAAAAAAATTTTCTCCAAATTACCCCCAAATCTCCCCAAATAGTGTGAATAGTGGCTGGCAGAAAAAAAAGAGGGTAAAAGAGTCAAATCATTATAAAGTTATTGACTTTGTAATCCTTTTGGGACAAAAATGTGAGAGAATATTGTAATCTATTTCGCGACAGAGGGAGTACTAACATAAAAGATTAAGTTTTAGAGTGTACTCTATTCGATACATATTATTCCCATGAAGAAAAGTAAAGTGTGTACTTTAAAATCAATTATGCATTCTTCAAGACATGCTTATAAACTATATTCATTGTAATGTTAGATAGAGTATTTCTGAGACTGTATCATCAATCTTGACTATGCATATAAAAACATAGTAAAATAGTTGTTAAAAATGTATTATATGTACATTATTTTACACGTCTACCTATTTCATTTAATCTTGTTATTGACCTTGTTCGACATATCATAAATGTACAATTGCGCGAACCTATGAATTTGGCCTTGTGGTGGAAGTAATGTCCTAATTTTATGGTTATTTTGTCCATTCAGACTGTAAGTAGGTGGTCATATACCGTTACTCATGGGATGATCAAAATTTCCACCCATTAAAGTGAAACAAAACCTATTGTTGTAGGCATGAACTTTTTCTTGAAATGATTACCTCTTCAAAGTGGCTCCAAACAATAAATCTTGTATGCTTTGAGATGTTCATATACATAGTAAAGACACTTTACCATTTTTACAACATAATGGATACTTCGGTTGTAATTTTTTAGGCTAACTCCCAAGTCTCTTTCTCTTTGTACCAAGTCATAGCTCCACAATATTGTTGTTGTTTCAGTCTACCTTTGATTCTCAATATTAATAAAGAGTGGTTACCCAATGAAATATCCTAACAGAAGATTCAATTAACAAAAATAATAGTTTAATTTGTCATGAATATGGAGATATTAAACAAAATAATTACTAACCTTGCACGATGATATGACTGTTATCTACAAGTTCGGGATTGCTAGAAGTTGAAGGTTCCCAGCATTTTGTAAAAAAATTGTTTAGATTCCTCACAACACATTGTCTCCCCAATAACGTGTATGTTTAATAATAACTTCCTATATTAGTTTTACTTTACTAAAGCAATTGTAAAGTTGCTCATAGCAAGAATTTAATCTAATCGTGAGAATTAGGCAACAATTTATCAATAAAATAAAATAACTTCCTAAGCTCAACCTTCATCCTGTATATTAAAAATAAAATACATAACGTAGTAGACAACCCTTTCATATTGTCACAATAATATAATACCGGCACTTCAGTAAAATTTATCAATGAAGTGAAAGAAAGTTCCTGTAACACCCCAATCCGTATAACCCGGAATTACACGAATTAAGGTGAAACGAGAGTTAAATAAAAATTTCACTTGACATTTGGAAATGACAATTTCTGATAAATATTAAATTTACAGACTCTGGATCGCAACCCATTTAAAAATATTTTCAGAGTAATGCGGAAGTACAATAATAATCAAATCATGACACATTTTAAAATCTGTTGACCAAACATTGCCTGCCATCCTTGCATCTCCTCTGACTCAATGCCCTCCGGGAAAGGTTCCATCATTGTCTTCTTGTTACCTACGTGTAGTCAACGAAAAATACAAACTACACGCTCAGCGAAACCGTTGAGTGGTACCTCGCTAGAATTGTAGAATAATTCATAGACATATACATTTACATATATATGTCCACAAAAAGTATAATATTAATATTCATAATATGGCACATTATATCATATGGACAATTTGATGAATCATGATGATAAATATTTAATGATAATTACATGATGGCACATTCAATTTTTGTGAGGATGATTACATGATACTTATGTAATCAATATACTTGATCTTGATGATGATTACACGACACCTATGTAATCGATGTACTTGATGATGATAACATGATGCATGATTCTAACGAGCAAGGACACCCTTGCGCTATGAGATTCG